CTGGGGAGTGCATAATTATTGGTATTGTTATCTATAACTGCTTTCCTTTCATGGAGTTCTCAACACTCCTTTTTTTGCTTACCTATCATCCTACTGATGTAAAAATGTTATTCTAATATGGAATTGTCCGACATTCAAAAATTAACCTTAGTTATCCCTACTCAGTTCAACAAGTAGATGAACAAAGGCCTATAAAATTCCTTTTGACTTTATTACATATTTATAAACATTTACATTTATTTTTATATACAAGTACTCTGTCTGCATGTATGCCTGCATTACAGAAGAGGGCATCAGATCTCATTACAGATGGTTGTGAGCTATCATGTAGTTGCTGGGAATTGAACTCAGGACCTCTGGAAGAACAGGTAGTGCTCTTAGCCGCAGAGCCACTTCTCCAGCCTCAACTTTATTGCATATTTTAGTGAATATAGTAAAAGAGTAAACCTTAGAGGCAGGCATCTCTTTTTCTCAAAATGGTTGAGCAAATGAAAAGCATTTTCAAAGGTTCTTTAACTGAAGATTTATTGGTCACAAGTTATCAAAGTATAGTTCCAAAGTCTACATTAGTGGGAAAAGAATCCTTTTCTTAAAAAAAAAAATATTTTTCTAGTCAGAGTTTCTCTGTGTAGCTTTGGAGCCTGTCCTGGAACTCGCTCTGTAGGCTAGGCTGGCCTCAGACTCACAGAGATCTTCCTGCCTCTACCTCCTGAGTGCTAGTTAAAGACATGTGCCACCAGCACCCAGGGGAAAAGAATACTTTTTAAAAAATTGTACACATGGATGAAAGTAGGAAGAATAGCATAATTAATTCATTCACACTTATTATTTATCATCCAATTCTAGCAATTTTCTACTAAAGTAGATTTTAACAGAGAAACATTTTGGTCAAAAATATAACATGGTGTCGGGGGTGCTAGAGAGGTGGCTCAGCAGTTAAGAGTGCTCTTCCAGAGGACCTGGGTTTGATTCCAAGCACCCACATGGTGGCTCACAGCCACCTGTAACTCCAATCAGTTCCAGGGGAGCCAGTACTTTTTTCTTGGCCTTCAGAAGTAACACATACCCCCCCACACACACACACAATTAAAATACAAATTAAAAACTTAAAATTATGACTGCTTGCTACTGTTAGTCTCATGGGTATAGTTAGAATTACATTTTTAGTTTTTATTACTTAAAACCATTTTTAACTTTAAATATATCTTGCTTATATTCTTCCCCTCCCTCAAGGCTTTCCAGAACTTCAAATTCTTTCTCAAAAAACAAACAAGAGCCTGGCAGTGGTGGCGAATGCCTTTAATCCTAGCACTGGGGAAGCAGAGGCAGGGGGATCTCTGTGAGTTTGAGGCCAGCCTGGTCTACAGAGAGAGTTCTAGGACAGCCAAAGCTGTTACACAGAGAAACCCTGTCTTGAAAATCAAAAACAAACAAACAAATACCCCAAACAATAACCCATATAAACAATTTTACATTGCTTTCCTTAGATTTCTTTAACTTTTAATTTGGACAAATTAGTCAAAAAATTATTTTTGTAAGTGTTAAAGTTTTATTTGGAACATATCTTTTCAGTTTAATGTTATTTTGGGGACTTAATAATGGATTTTTAAATCCATTGCTTGTTTTTTACATCATAAAGTTGTGCATATTTGGGGCATGTTTTTAAAACTGAAGGCCAAACAAAACTGCATGAATTTATAATCTATTGGAGAAAGGGTTAAATGTGCTGAATAGAATAGACTTTGTTCTGTCTTTGTTTTTAAGGTTTGGATTAAGCAACAAGTTTGATACGGAATTTCCCTCAGTTTTGACAGGGAAGGTAAGTGAGTTTGCTTTGAATTTTCCGATTCTAATGCCCTGTGTTATGGCGAATTCAATGTTATGACAAATACTTTGACTCACTGGTAATGAAGCCAAATAACAGGAGGCCTCCCTGCTTGGAAGCTGTGTTCGCAGTGACTAAACGGTGTTGCCATGACTACCAGCCTCTGGCCAGCTATTTTGTCTGATGTTTCTTAATGTCAGCCATTGTTTATTACCTGTTCAGTTTTTCCAGTGTTGCGTATTTTGCCCAGCATAGGTACCTGTAATTGTTTTCATTTAGATCTATATTTTCTAGTATTTCATTGCCAGAGTTACCTTTGTAGCTGAGTCACTATTTAAAGTGTTATTTGTCATGCATCATTTATTACAAATAAAAAGCATTGCATTTTTGGTTAGATGTTTTTCTTCCTTTTAGATTGAGTTTGTAAAATTGGACTCACAGCAATAAATGACTACCTTTCTATTTGTGGGTTTCTCTATATTCAATTGTATAGACAAGCATTCTTGCTCAAAATTCAGACTTCCCAGGATTTAAACCTATAAGTATAGATTAATGTACAGCATGATTATTATAAATAATATTGTATTATATACTAAAAATTCAACAAATGAACAGATTTCAGGTTCTATAAAAGAAACGATAACTATATATGTTAACTTGCTTGACTGTAGTAATTATTTTACTATGTATATGTATATTAAAAATATCATGTTGAGCTGCTCTGGTGGCACAGATCTGTAAACCCAGTGCTAGCATTCAAGAGGGTTATGAATGCCAGGCTAGCCTGGGTTACATAGTTAGAACTTGTCTCAAAAAAAGGTAGACATTAAGAGAGCTTCAAAGACACCTGAAGTCGATCTTTGGCATCTACACTTGCACACTGCCGGGCGTTGGTGGCGCACGCCTTTAATCCCAGCACTCGGGAGGCAGAGGCAGGCAGATCTCTGTGAGTTCGAGGCCACCCTGGTCTCCAGAGCGAGTGAGTGCCAGGATAGGCTCCAACAGGCTCTAATCCCAGCAATCTGAACGCAGAGGCAGGCAGATCTCTGTAAGTTCTAAGCCAGAATGGTTTACACAGTAAGTTCCACAGAAGGGCTCCAAAGCACACAGAGAAACCCTGTCTCGAAAAACCAAAAAAAAGAAAGAAAGTGCATGAACACACACACAATGAGAGAGGGGGGGAGGGAAAAAGAGAGGGGGAGGGATACTTCACCAAATGCAGCAGTAGCTTAAACTTGATGTGTTTTATAAACATTAATAATAAACATGTTCTCCAAATGTGCAAAATTAGACATGGAAATATCTCCAGCTTTAATACTAGCTTAATTTTTGGCATGTTTAAAGTTAGAGGCCTAGAAATTTCTAGAAAACGTTCAGTAAATATAGCTCTCAGGCACAAACATTATCCATTTTTTTAAATTAGCCAGTTTTGTGTGCTGAAGTAATCTTTGAATACCTTTTCACACCTTTTCATTCCTTTCCGAACTTTCTGGAACTAAACATTCCACTGACCCATAAGATACCAGGATTGTTTAAATCAGAATGGTAAGAATGGTAAGCTGTTTTTGGTATCCATTCATATAGCCTGGATGATCTGGATGGGAGCTGTTCTTGAAAACATCCATTCCTTTTTTTTCTAATCTGTGTGTCTTTTTCTGTTTTAGAAACAGAGTTTTGTTATGTATCCCAAGCTGCCTGGAACTTATTATGTAACCCAAGCTGGTCTCAAACTTATGGCAATCCTCCTGCCTCAGCTCTCTAATTGTTCTGATTACAAGCATGAGTTACCATGCCTGGCTAAAACATCTATTCTTTTCAGGTGACTATATTTATAGTAAACATACTGATATGTGGCTGTGTGTTCAAGTATGTGTTATTTGTATTCACATTTTCTCGTGTGTACATGGGTGTGCATTTGGTAACGCAGAAATGATAGTGCAATGCTTTTCTTAACGTGTGTTTGACAATGAGAAAAGCACTAAAAGTGACTCTGAAAGTCTGATGTTTGTTGGTTAGTTTTGTTGCTGTGGATGAAGCCCAGGACCTTGCTCACACTAAGTACATGCTCTACCACTGAGCTTCATCTCTAGTTCCTGGAGATGTGATTTTTAAAGTTACAAGTTTATGACATAAATTCTTTAATGGGATTTTTTTCTCCAGTAGGTACTATTTCACTGTAGTGTGGATTATTAAACCATTTCTCTAATAACTGGGGGAAGGCTTAAATAAATATGAAAAACTAAATAAAAAGGTCTTAATTCCCAACTTAATACTCCTTGTATAAATTGTCTTAAAGTGGATAACTGTAATACATAACAGAAAAGAACTACCCTTTATGAAAGTCAGTTTTTTGGCATGCCTGAGCTATTCTAAGTAGCTGGCTTGAGGTAAACAAACTTGCAGTCAATTAGGAAAATCTAAAAGGCCATTTTGTAAGTTCCACAACTCAGTATTAACTTTTTGCTTCCTTTGTGTTAATTCTTTTCCCCATTTCACTAGAGGTAAGTTCTCTTGTCATAATAGGACATGTCGTGTAGGTACGTATGTATATACACACAGAGATTCTGGTGACCGGAAAGAAGTGAGATCTTCCTCAGCGTGAAGGAAATGAAGGGCATTATGGGGAGAGCACTGTGTAGTGTTGGGAATGGTGAGCCATAAAAATTGCCCTCCTCTATTGTGATCCAATATGACAAGTGATTGCTATGCTTGTGTTCCTTACAATGAGGGAGGCAAATCAGTCCTGCTGGGCTTTGCTTCAATTTTCTTCTGAGTCTCCTACATCCTGTTATAAAATATTATGACCCTTTCCCCCACCTTCATGATGTTGTTTTTCTTTTTTCTTTCTGAGAAAGTCAAAAGGAATGACGTGTTTCTTTACAGCCTACTGTCCAGTTAAAAAGTCAGAGGCTCCCAGCCGACATTCAATACTGAAAATACTCTGTTGTATGCAAGTGAATGAGTCAACTGGTACTAGCTTGGCGTCTGCAGTTAACTAAACATTTCTCTCCATGTTTAAAGCTGAGGGTTGATTCTCATCCCGTCTCTACTTTATGACTTGTAATATTTCACAATACAGCTGAGACACACACACACACGCACGCACGCACGCACGCACGCACGCACGCACGCACGCACGCACGCACACACACACACACACACAGCCCCAAAG